GGGAAAACTGAGATTGATCTGAGCCATCACAGATAAACAGATGGAGCATAAAGCTGAAGTTCATTTTGGGTCTTTTACTATGAGAAAATCTAAAAATAACAACGTTAATCTTCTGAGAAACACTTTCATTTTGAGTCTGTTGCATGTGGGAGAAGCTGATGGAGCTTTTTCAAAGCCCCAAAAATGCCCGAAATGAACTGATTTTTAGTCATTTGTTTCATTTACATTTGGCCGTAATGAAATCTACAAAAACTATGTTTGATAATGAGAAAGACTGAGCTGAAATTAGTGGAATTTTTAGCCGTTTTTCATTCAGAATCCTCTTTACACCTGTTTCCTGCTTTCATTCTTTAAAAAAAAAGAATAAATGTCTACATTTTGTGTCAGATTTTGTTGTGTGGTCGACTTGAGAGCCTTAAATAAAGGCAGCTGGACATCTCGGATCTAGAAAATATTTCACCTCTCGCTGAAAAACATTTGTAAAAAAAGTCTGTGTGCTTTAATTCAACCTCTTTGGATCTTGTGTGCTGAGGTTGGAGTTTGAAAAAGCCGAAGTTTTTCCATCTGAAGGCAATTTAAGTGGCGTCTTCTGTAAACGTGGAAATCCAGGGTCAATTTTCATGTGCGTGAATAATGAAAGTGGCCGAATGTTCCAGCTCTGAAAGATCAAATCAGACACATTTCCACGACCGGAGTTTAATCTGCCGCATGAAAATGGAAATGGCTGCTGACCTCCGGGTGGGAAAAGAAAAAAAAAGGGCACATCTGAGAGCTTCACAAATGAAACCGAATGCTTTTCCATAAAGACGTTAGAAGAAGCTCAGACAGATGTTGAGAGGAGGGCCAGATGTTGCAGTTTTAGGTTTTTTATTTGAAAATAATTAAACTCCATCCTCTGTAATCCCCTCCTGGATAAAACCAGCTCCTGGTTTCATTTTTCCTGATTCTGTCTCGGTTTTAATGGATGACTGTCCCTGGTTCCAGGACCTCATGTCCTGTGTCCAATTTGAGAAAATCAAACTCTAAATTTCAGTTCTGGACCGGTTGGATCGTCTCATTATTCAGCTTTTGTTCACTTTTCTTTTAGGTGTGTGATAGTTTTTTATTCTTTCAATATGAATTTAAAGGAAGTTAAACAGCCGTCCAGACCTGGATGGACCTGGTCAGACCTTAAAAGACCTGGACAAACCTGGAAAAACCTGGATAGACCTTAAAGGACCTGGACAAACCTGGAAAGACCTGGACAGACCTGGTTAGACCTGGAAAGACCTTTAAGGACCTGGTCAGACCTTAAAGGACCTGGTCAGACCTGGACACACCTGGTCAGACCTGGACACACCTGGTTAGACCTGGACAGACCTAGTCAGACCTGGTTAGACCTGGAAAGACCTGGTTAGACCTGGTCAGAACTTACAGGACCTGGTCAGACCTGGACACACCTGCTCAGACCCGGACGGACCTTAAAGGACCTGGACACACCTGGAAAAACCTGGACAGACCTTAAAGGACCTGGACAAACCTGGAAAGACCTGGACACACCTGGTCAGACCCGCTCAGACCTTAAAGGACCTGCTCAGACCTGGTTAGACCTGGACAGACCTTAAAGGACCTGGACAGACCTAGTCAGACCTTTAAGGACCTGGTCAGACCTGGTTGGACCTGGAAAGACCCGGACAGACCTGCTCAGACCTGCTCAGACCTGGTCAGACCTGGTCAGACCTGGTCAGACCTGGACACATCTGGACGGACCTGGACAGACCTTAAAGGACCTGGTCAGACCTGGTTAGACCTGGTCACACCTGGTTAGACCTCGTCAGACCTGGACACACCTGGATAGACCTTATCAGACCTGGTCAGACCTGGACACACCTGGATAGACCTCATCAGACCTGGTCAGACCTGGACACACCTGGATAGACCCGGACAGACCTGGTCAGACCTTAAAGGATCTGGTCAGACTTTAAAGGACCTGGAAAGACCTGGACAGACCTGGTCAGACCCGGTCAGGTCTGGCTCCTGAAGCCTCCCCGGCCCCTTAGGATCCGACCCCCTACCTGGCCGTGAGGTGGTGGGCCCCTGCTGCTTCCGCTGACCTTTACGCTCTCCGGCCGCCGCTCTGCAGAAAAAGCTGCGATTGCCTCGGCGAGAACTGAAA